TCACCGCAGGGCCCGGCCCGGCCCCGCACCCCTGGGCCCCAGCCCAGCCCCCGGCCGAGCGCCCCTGGCCCAGCACCGCCGGCTCCGGCCCAGCACCTCCCTATTTTCCCGGACATGTTCGGCTTTTTGGGATTTCCCCCCGGACGGGGATTTGAGTCCCAAAAAGCCGGACATGTCCAGGAAAATCCTGGACGTATAGTAACCCTATGCTTACTTGGGGTTGTTGCAGAACTGTCCTGGCAAATTCCAGCTCTAGGAATGATATTCTGCCTCCCTGCGTTCCCACTGCAGTTGCTTTGGAATACGGTATTCGTCACTTCCTGCCCTACCGCGCTGGGTCCTGGGCGTGTTCAAAACCTTTCAGTAAGACTCTGAGGTTTAATTAATTATTGTTTGCAAAGGACGTCAGTTGCAAGGCCAGACTGTAGAGGCATGCTGAGTGCTGCTACTGAAAATACAGCTGCCATCAGTCACTCAGCGGTAGCTCACAAATTGCCTGCAATACACTCAAAACCGATTGGGAGGAGAGAGGAGGTTTGGCAGGCTCGCTCTTTGTTCATTTGTCACTTACCTCCAGAGTTCCCGGTCCCATTTCCAGAGGCCAAGTTCGGCACCAGACCACACTGTGGGAACATAGCAAAGGAGACAAGCACAATTAACACGTATGGAAATGTACAAGGATGTATTTCATAATGACGTGGTTTTATATTTACATGAAGCCCTACTGGTCACATCAGAGGATTGAAGGCCGGTCCCCTGGATTCTATTCCTGCTGTATGCCCCTTGCTTTATTCATGTCCCGCACACAGAGAAGTTAGATAAAAACACACATATTCCTTTTGGAATGTTGCAATGTAACTTGACTTTATTTCTTAGAATTCAGAACAATAGCACACGAACCCAAAACAGAGAGACAAAGCAGGCTGCTCCCTAAAACAGACAGGCACAACTCCCCCGACCTTTCTCTAGGCTGACTGCTGCTAGCCCCAGATTGCACGCTTCCCTACAGAGACCCCTAGCCTGGAAGCAGAAAAGACCCCTGAAATGTAAAGTGACAGTTTGCAATTTTAACACAGTTTTCAATACATCACAATACCGGGCAAATTATTTCAAACTTGATCATTCTCCTTTCATTTACACCATCAGGAGCAATGCCACCAAAGTCAACAGATTTAGTATAAAACTGGTGTGAGACCAGAATCAGGCTCGATTTGTGCTTCAGTTTCCCCATCTGTAAAATGGGGATATTAGTGCCTACTTCCCTGGATTGTTGTAATAAATGTTCATAAAGTGATCTGAGATCCTTAATTGAAACATGATATTTAAATGAGAAATATTCTTAATTATACTATGGCTCTCACAGCAGAGGAAGAGATAATTATGGTTCCATTACAAACCTTGCTCCCATCCCCAACACATTTAGAAGAAAAATACATCTTTTTTTGCCTGAGTGTTTGTATCTTTATTGTTGATGTAGCTATTATTATTTTTTTAAATACAAGATTTGAAGCAAATGATGGGCACTGATCCAGCTGGTTAACATTTTTTTCATTTAAACTTTTCTTTTCTTTTGTTTTGTAACAAAAAATGTGTCTTCGTTTGTTTTGGCTGAGATTTTCCAATTTTTTTGCCAACCCCTCCCCCACAATATTTTGGGGGGGGTTGTTATTATTTCCCTCCCTTTTCTCTTCCTTTTCCAGTTGAAAGAACACTGTTTAAAAGGGAAAGCAATAGGAAAAAATAAAAAGCAGGGCTGTCGATTAATCGCAATTAAGTCATGCGATTAATTCAAAACAATTAATTGTAATTAAAAAAATAATCATGATTAATCGCACTGTTAAACAATAGAATACCAACTGAAATGTATTAAATATTTTTGGATGTTTTTCTACATTTTCAAATATATTGATTTCAATTACAACACAGAATACAAAGTGTACAGTGCTCACTTGATATTACTTTTGATTACAAATATTTGCACTGTAAAAAACAAAAGAAATAGTATTTTTCAATTCACCTCATACAAGTACTGTAGT